ACACAGTATTTAGTGTGTTTATACACGCTTGCCGACTTGCTGCCCCAGTAAGAAAAGACAAGTAATTGTAAATGATACAGTAATAACGGCAACATGTGGATAATGACACTTATACTGATAATGGTTTAAAATACCGATAAGTTGATGAGACAGACATATGCATTAGCTGGGTATTTTTTACTGTTGCAGCGTTTCACCTACACAGTAGGCTTCCTCAGTCAAATACAGAGACAGCAGTAGTAATGAAATAAAGGTGATGTAATCAGTCCATCAACCTTGGAGAAATAATATTTGAGGTGGTCAGTCCCTCAGCCTCCTGTGGGACTACACCTGCGGCCTCTGTATTTGAGAAAAACTACTATGTAGCGAACAATCCAACAATAGCCATTTGTACATGTGTCTTACTCATCGATAAATGACACTGTGTACATCAATAATTGAAAAGCTTTTCGCCACGAGTGGCATCATCATCCTAAAACGGCAATAGGACTAATGAACCACTCCTGCGAAACGTTATCTTAAAACGTCTTAAACTGTAAATAACTGTCATCTCAGGTGATAGGTTGATGTTAGAGTTAGTGTCTGTGGTGAGCACAACAACTAGTACAAAAAGGTATTTTGAAGGAAGTTACAAGAGTGCACACACAGTTACCAGTTAACCTACAAGGCGTCATACAGGTTAACAAGATAAGACACGTAGTTAACTATCGGTAATTTTGATAACGCATCACAGTGGCTCTACAGTAAAACTCACAGGATTAATGGGAGCTGTATGAAACGACGAAAGACGAGTATCGGTCCCCAGTGAAATAGGAACCAAGTCATTGAAATTGGATACAGTGAAAATACGGACAAAATGCGTATGCGATTTATTGACAACGTTTCGCCCAATATGGTTTTAAAGTACCGATTAACGTTGAATGAGACATGACATATAGATGGAGAGTCTGGTGAGATGTTTTGTTGGACCTGAGACGCCCTGTTTAAGTACCGCTAGGAATTCTAGTAGTTGACTGAGATGGACCTTAAGCGCTGAGAATGTGTAAGGTGGACTGTAACAGACCTGTAAGGTACCTGGAGAATGTTTGGTAGGTGCCTGAGACGGACCTGTAGGTACCGCTGACGATGTTGGTAGTTGATGAACGACTATAAGGTACGCGAAACGTTGCAGTGGACATAGACGACTGTAGGTACCGGGTGTTTCGTAGTGGACCGAACAACCTGTGTACCAGTCAATTTGGAGACGTTTGCACGAGACGGCATCTAAGTCCTGAAATGTTGGTAGTTGGACAATGAGAGACCTGTAAGGTACCTGCGAAATTTTTGTAGTTGACTGAAGACCGTAATAAGTACCGCTGAGAGTTGGTAGGTTGACTGAGACGGACGTAGGTACACTGGAATGTTGGTGTTGGACCAGACGGACCTTAGGTACGCTGAGAATGTTTAGTAGGGGACCTGAGACTGACACCGTAAATTTACCGCTAATGTTGGTAGGTTGGACCTAGACGGACTTAAGTACCGCTAGAATTTGGTAGTTGGACCTAACACCTGTAGGTACTGCTAGAATTGTGAGTTGGACCTGAGACGTACCCGTACAAGACGCGAGAATGTTTGGTAGGTTGGACTGACGACCGAAGTACCGAAGAGATGTTTGGTAGGTTGACCTAGACAGACCTGTAAAGTACGCGAGAATGTTTGGTGTTGGACTGAACGGACCTGTAAAAGTACCACTGAGATATGTTTTAGTTGGACCGAGCGGACCAATACGCTGAGATGTTTGGTAGGTGACCTAACGGACTGTAAAGTACATGAGAATGTTTGTAGTTGGACTGAGAGGACTGTAAGGTACGCTGAGAATGTTTGGTAGGTTAGACCTGAGACGGACCTGTAAGGTACCGCTGAGAATATTTGGTAGGTTGACCTGAGACGGACCTGTAAGGTACCGCTGAGAATGTTTGGTAGGTTAGACCTGAGACGACCTGTAAGGTACCGCTGAGAATGTTTGGTAGGTTAGACCTGAGACGGACCTGTAAGGTACCGCTGAGAATGTTTGGTAGGTTGACCTGAGACGGACCTGTAAGGTACCGCTGAGAATGTTTTGGTAGGTTAGACCTGAGACGGACCTGTAAGGTACCGCTGAGAATGTTTGGTAGGTTAGACCTGAGACGGACCTGTAAGGTACCGCTGAGAATGTTTGGTAGGTTGGACCTGAGACGGACCTGTAAGGTACCGCTGAGAATGTTTGGTAGGTTGACCTGAGACGGACCGTAAGGTACCGCTGAGAATGTTTGGTAGGTTGGACCTGAGACGGACCTGTAAGGTACCACTGAGAATGTTTGGTAGGTTGGACCTGAGACGGACCTGTAAGGTACCGCTGAGAATGTTTGGTAGGTTAGACCTGAGACGGACCGTAAAGGTACCGCTGAGAATGTTTGGTAGGTTAGACCTGAGACGGACCTGTAAGGTACCGCTGAGAATGTTTGGTAGGTTGGACCTGAGACGGACCTGTAAGGTACCGCTGAGAATGTTTGGTAGGTTGGACCTGAGACGGACCCGTAAAGTACCGCTGAGAATGTTTGGTAGGTTGGACCTGAGACGGACCTGTAAGGTACCGCTGAGAATGTTTGGTAGGTTGGACCTGAGACGGACCTGTAAGGTACCGCTGAGAATGTTTGGTAGGTTAGACCTGAGACGGACCTGTAAGGTACCGCTGAGAATGTTTGGTAGGTTAGACCTGAGACGGACCTGTAAGGTACCGCTGAGAATGTTTGGTAGGTTAGACCTGAGACGGACCTGTAAGGTACCGCTGAGAATGTTTGGTAGGTTAGACCTGAGACGGACCTGTAAGGTACCGCTGAGAATGTTTGGTAGGTTAGACCTGAGACGGACCTGTAAGGTACCGCTGAGAATGTTTGGTAGGTTAGACCTGAGACGGACCTGTAAGGTACCACTGAGAATGTTTGGTAGGTTAGACCTGAGACAGACCTGTAAGGTACCGCTGAGAATGTTTGGTAGGTTAGACCTGAGACGGACCTGTAAGGTACCGCTGAGAATGTTTGGTAGGTTAGACCTGAGACGGACCTGTAAGGTACCGCTGAGAATGTTTGGTAGGTTAGACCTGAGACGGACCTGTAAGGTACCGCTGAGAATGTTTGGTAGGTTAGACCTGAGACGGACCTGTAAGGTACCGCTGAGAATGTTTTGGTAGGTTAGACCTGAGACGGACCTGTAAGGTACCGCTGAGAATGTTTGGTAGGTTAGACCTGAGACAGACCTGTAAGGTACCGCTGAGAATGTTTGGTAGGTTAGACCTGAGACGGACCTGTAAGGTACCGCTGAGAATGTTTGGTAGGTTAGACCTGAGACGGACCTGTAAGGTACCCTGAGAATGTTTGGTAGGTTAGACCTGAGACAGGACCTGTAAGGTACCGCTGAGAATGTTTGGTAGGTTAGACCTGAGACGGACCTGTAAGGTACCGCTGAGAATGTTTGGTAGGTTAGACCTGAGACGGACCTGTAAGGTACCGCTGAGAATGTTTGGTAGGTTAGACCTGAGACGGACCTGTAAGGTACCGCTGAGAATGTTTGGTAGGTTGGACCTGAGACGGACCCCCGCGGGACGGGCGGGTGTGTACGTAGTTATGTAGGATAACGAAAAAGACGTTTCCTGGGAAAGGTTTCAATTATGGTTTAAAATCCGTTATTCAGGGTGAAACTGACTGAAGAGTTCAAGTTTCTTCGGCACTGAATGTCTTCTTCCCTGGGATGAGTCTTGCGTCTCTGTAGTTCATTAAATGATTGTTTAAAAGAAACCATACCACGGGCGGGATTTGAACGCGCGGTCAGAGACTCTATGACCGCGGGTTCAAATCCCGCCCGTAGTATGGTTTGTTTGCAATTGTGTCATTACGATTTCGTGAGTCATGGTTGTTTAAGTTTCGGTGTTCAACGCAGGCATTTCTCAAACCGTACGTTCTGCCTGCGGAGCGGTGTTGTGAAGTACGTGTTTGGAGGTCTCTGTCTCGCCCATGTATAATTGGTTGCAATAGTTGTAAGGGATTATGTATACCCCTGTTACTGGTAATATCTTTGATGATGATGAGGTCTGGTCTCAGACCGTGCCGCGGGGGCGTTGACCCCCGAAACCCTCTCCAGGTAACCTCCAGGTGTTGGACGCAGAGGTAAATACTTGGAATGAGGTACTGGGAAAGATGCTGGATATATGTTCATCCATGGTTGTTAAGACACATAGGCAACACTTAAGCAACTTTATTCCGAAACGTTTCGCCTACACAGTAGGCTTCTTCAGTCGAGTACAGAAAGTAGGCAGGAGACAGTAGAGATATTTATCCATCTCGTGCAGGTCCGTCTCAGATCCAACCTACCCAGCATTCTCCATCTGACTCTCCACACTACACGCATGTACTCTTTACCCAAGTATATATATTTGTAACTTGACAAAGCCCACTGTGTGGGCGAAACGTAGTCAATAAAGGATCGCTTTATACTGCATTTGTATTTATTTTACCATCTTGAAAATTCTTGAAGACTAGGGTACTCTTCAACTCCAAGGCTGAGGGACTAATTACCTCATCTTTCGTACAGATTTCTCCAGTCTTCACATTATCTCCTTTAAATTGTATTAACAAATAAACTGGATGGCAAAACGTCTACAAATGAAGATACCCAGAAGCAGTACACGTATCTAATTCTTCATCTTGTAGTTATTCTATACCATTCATATACAAGGCTAAGACGAGAGTAACAAAAGCTACCAGCTACAACACCAGCGTGGTTCACTACATGGTTAATACGACAGCATGACGCGAGATGTACCAAGATTGGCAATACGGTACGACACAGCATTTTACCTTAAGTCGTACTTGTTAGTAACGCCGTATCGCAATATCGAAAAGAAATCAACCTTATCGTACCGACTGGAACACGGTACCGTACCGTATTGCCAGCCTTGGTAATACTGGAGTGCCACTGAATAATACCTGGTTGGGGGAGGCCTACGGAAGGCCCCAATTCCGGCAGGGGGGGCGGAGCGTGCGCCGCAGGGGGGTGCGCCTGAGATGGGTGGACAGCCTGTGTAGGAGGGGCGTGATGGGCGTGGGCGGCGGGCGGCGGGTGGCTGGCTGAGGGTGTGGGCGCCGCCCCGCCTACAAGGGAACCACCACAAAGTACAAATATTACTAGTACCTCTTCCGGAACACCTCAGTGCTAGTACTACAGTAATATCACTACTAGCACTAGTACTGCTAGTAATACTACTTGTACTGTTAGCACTACTAGTAATAGTACTAGTATTGCCAGTAATACTGCTACTATAGCTAGCACCACTAGTATTGCTAGTAGCATCCTTAACCTAGAAACAAAGTGCACGCCAGGATACAAAAGCCAAGATGCCAGGCACTAATGCCATATAGCGAGACACTAGTGCCATATAGTGGGACACTAGTGCCATATAGCAAGACACTAGTGCCATATAGCGAGACACAGGTGCCATATAGTGATACACCAGTGCCATATAGCGAGACACTAGTGCCAGAAGGCTCAGAAGGTCGATGGCACCGAGGGAAGGTCATCAGATAATTTGTTGGATAAAAGGTCAAATAAGACACAAAAGTATCATGAGGATGCTGGGCCAGGACCTGTGACTCGACGTCTGCAACCACAAATAGGTGAAGACAAGACCTCAGCGTTTGATAAGTAGCAGTGGGTAGTGTGGTGAGGCAGGTGTGGGTAGTGTGATGAGGCAGGTGTAGGGTAGTGTGGCGAGGCAGGAGTGGGTAGTGTGGCAAGGCAGGAGTAGGGTGGCGAGGCAGGTGTGATTAGGGTGGTGAGGCAGGTGTGGGTGGTTTGACGAGGCAGGTGTGGGTAGTGTGGCGAAGCAGGGTGAGTAGTGTGGCAAGGCAGGAGTAGGGTGGCGAGGCAGGTGTGGGTGGTGTGGCGAGGTAGGTGTGATTAGGGTGGTGAGGCAGGTGTGGGTGGTTTGACGAGGCAGGTGTGGGTAGTGTGGCGAAGCAGGTGTGAGTAGTGTGGCAAGGCAGGAGTAGGGTGGCGAGGCAGGTGTGGGTGGTGTGGCGAGGTAGGTGTGATTAGGGTGGTGAGGCAGGTGTGGGTAGTGTGGCAAGGCAGGTGTGGGTAGTGTAGCGAGGCAGGTGTGATTAGGGTGGCGAGACAGGTGTGGATAGTGTGGCGAGGCAGGTGTGAGTAGTGTGGCGAGGCAGGTGTGATTAGGGTGGCGAGGCAAGTGTGGGTGGTGTGACGAGGCAGGTGTGAGTAGTGTGGCGAGGCAGGTGTGAGTAGTGTGGCAAGGCAGGTGTGAGTAGGGTGGCGAGGCAGGTGTGGGTGGTGTGCCGAGGCAGGTGTCGGTGGTGTGACGAGGCAGGTGTGGGTAGTGAGGCGAGGCAGGTGTCGGTGGTGTGACAAGGCAGGTGTGTGTAGTGAGGCGAAGCAGGTGTGGGTAGTGTGGCGAGGCAGGTGTGGGTAGTGTGGCGAGGCAGGTGTGGGCTGTGTGGCGAGGCAGGTGTGGGTAGTGTTATGAAATGTGGGTAGTGGCGAGGCAGGTGTGGGTAGTGTGGCGAGGCAGGTGTGGGTAGCGTGGCGAGGCAGGTGTGGGCAGTTGTGGCCAGGCAGGTGTGGGTAGTGCGGCCAGGCAGGTGTAGGTAGTGTGGGTGGCGTTGCGAGGCAGGTGTGGGTAGTATGGCCAGACAGGTGTGGGTAGTGTGGCCAAGCAGGTGTGGGTAGTGTGGGTGTGGGTGGTGTTGCGAGGCAGGTGTGGGTAGTGTGGCCAGACAGGTGTGGGTAGTGTGGCCAAGCAGTTGTGGGTAGTGTGGCCGGGCAGGTGTGGGTAGTGTGGTCAGGCAGGTGTGGGTAGTGTGGTCAGGCAGGTGTGGGTAGTGTTGCGAGGCAGGTGTGGGTAATGTGGGGGTGGGTAGTGTTGTGACGCAGGTGTGGGTAGTGTGGCCAGACAGGTGTGGGTAGTGTGGCCAGACAGGTGTGGGTAGTGTGGCCAGGCAGGTGTGCGTGGTGGTGAGGCAGGTGTGGGTAGAGTGGCGAGGCAGGTGTGGGTAGTGTAGCCAGTCAGGTGTGGGTAGTGTAGCCAGGCAGGTGTGGGTAGTGTAGTCAGGCAGGTGTTGGCAGTGTAGCCAGGCAGGTGTGGGTAGTGTAGCCAGGCAGGGGCGGGTAGTGTAGCCAGGCAAGTGTGGGTAGTGTAGCCAGGCAGGTGTGGGTAATGTAGCCAGGCAGGTGTGGGTAGTGTAGCCAGGCAGGTGTGGGTAGTGTAGCCAGGCAGGTGTGGGTAGTGTAGCCAGGCAGGTGTGGGTAGTGTAGCCAGGCAGGTGCGGGTAGTGTAGCTAGGCAGGTGCGGGCAGTGTAGCCAGGCAGGTGTGGGTAGTGTAGCCAGGCAGGTGTGGGTAGTGTACCCAGGCAGGTGTGAGTAGTGTAGCCAGGCAGGTGTGGGTAGTGTAGCCAGGCAGGTGTGGGTAGTGTAGCCAGGCAGGTGCGGGTAGTGTAGCCAGGCAGGTGTGGGTAGTGTAGCCAGGCAGGTGTGGGTAGTGTAGCCAGGCAGGTGCGGGTAGTGTAGCCAGGCAGGTGCGAGTAGTTCAGCAAGGCAGGTGTGGGTAGTTTAGCCAGGCAGGTGTGGGTAGTGTAGCCAGGCAGGAGTGGGTAGTGTAGCCAGGCAGGTGTGGGTAGTGTAGCCAGGCAGGTGTGGGTAGTGTGCCCAGGCACGTGTGGGTAGTGTAGCCAGGCAGGTGCGGGTAGTGTAACCAGGCAGGTGTGGGTATTGCAGCCAGGCAGGTGTGGGTAGTGTAGCCAGGCAGATGTGGGTAGTGTAGTCAGGCAGGTGTGGGTAGTGTAGCCAGACAGGTGTGGGTAGTGTAGCCAGGCAGGTGTGGGTAGTGTAGCCAGTCAGGTGTGTGTAGTGTAGCCAGTCATATGTGGGTAGTGTAGCCAGGCAGGTGTGGGTAGTGTAGCCAGGCAGGTGTGGGTAGTGTAGCCAGGCAGGTGTGGGCAGTGTACCCAGGTACGTGTGGGTAGTGTAACCAGGCAGGTGTGGGTAGTGTAGCCAGGCAGGTGTGGGTAGTGTAGCCAGGCAGGTGTGGGCAGTGTACCCAGGTACGTGTGGGTAGTGTAACCAGGCAGGTGTGGGTAGTGTAGCCAGGCAGGTGTGGGTAGTGTAGCCAGTCAGGTGTGTGTAGTGTAGCCAGTCATATGTGGATAGTGTAGCCAGGCAGGTGTGGGTAGTGTAGCCAGGCAGGTGTGGGTAGTGTAGCCAGGCAGGTGTGGGCAGTGTACCCAGGTACGTGTGGGTAGTGTAACCAGGCAGGTGTGGGTAGTGTAGCCAGGCAGGTGTGGGTAGTGTAGCCAGGCAGGTGTGGGTAGTGTAGCCAGGCAGGTGTGGGTAGTGTAGCCAGGCAGGTGTGGCTACTGTAGCCAGGCAGGTGTGGGTAGTGTAGCCAGGCAGGTGTGGGCAGTGTACCCAGGTACGTGTGGGTAGTGTAACCAGGCAGGTGTGGGTAGTGTAGCCAGTCAGGTGTGGGTAGTGTAGCCAGGCAGGTGTGGCTACTGTAGCCAGGCAGGTGTGGGTAGTGTAGCCAGGCAGGTGTGGCTACTGTAGCCAGGCAGGTGTGGGTAGTGTAGCCAGGCAGGTGTGGGTAGTGTAGCCAGGCAGGTGTGGGTAGTGTAGCCAGGCAGGTGTGGCTACTGTAGCCAGGCAGGTGTGGGTAGTGTAGCCAGGCAGGTGTGGGTAGTGTAGCCAGGCAGATGTGGGTAGTGTAGCCAGGCAGGTGTGGGTAGTGTAGCCAGGCAGATGTGGGTAGTGTAGCCAGGCAGGTGTGGGTAGTGTAGCCAGGCAGGTGTGGCTACTGTAGCCAGGCAGGTGTGGGTAGTGTAGCCAGGCAGGTGTGGGTAGTGTAGCCAGGCAGGTGTGGGTAGTGTAGCCAGGCAGGTGTGGGTAGTGTAGCCAGGCAGGTGTGGGTAGTGTAGCCAGGCAGGTGTGGCTACTGTAGCCAGGCAGGTGTGGGTAGTGTAGCCAGGCAGGTGTGGGTAGTGTAGCCAGGCAGGTGTGGGTAGTGTAGCCAGGCAGGTGTGGGTAGTGTAGCCAGGCAGGTGTGGATAGTGTAGCCAGACAGGTGTGGATAGTGTAGCCAGACAGGTGTGGATAGTGTAGCCAGACAGGTGTGGATAGTGTAGCCAGACAGGTGTGGATAGTGTAGCGAAGGACTCAGATCCGATACAACCACAAGAGGATGTCCACAATATTAACCCAACTGTACAATACAATATTAACCCAACTGTTGAATACAATATTAACCCAACTGTTGAATACAATATTAACCCAACTGTTGAATACAATATTAACCCAACTGTAGAATACAATATTAACCGAAACGTACAATACAATAGAATGTTTTCTGGACAAACTGCAGCATCTCAAGGTAGGTAGACTTCCTCTCTCCCCCCTCCCCCTCTCTCTCCTTTCGTTACCATCTGTTTACAGCTCCAGCAGCTGGGTTATGATAGCGGTGTTCCCTATTCTGTAACTTGTTTCATCTCGTAATTTTTTTAAAATTAATTTTTAAGAATGTAGTCACAATACCATGGCTGGAACAATCAAGTCACAATACCGTGGCTGTAACAGTCACAATACCGTGACTGTAACAGTCACAATACCGTGGATGGAACATCACAATGTAACAGCACAATACCATGGCTGAACGCACAAATCAAGTCACAATACCGTGACTGGAACAGTCACAATACCGTGGATGGAACAATCAAGTCACAATACCATGGCTGGAACAATCAAGTCACAATACCGTGGCTGTAACAGTCACAATACCGTGACTGGAACAATCAAGTCACAATACCGTGGCTGGAACAGTCACAATACCGTGGCTGGAACAGTCACAATACAGTGGATGGAACAATCAAGTCACAATACCATGGCTGGAACAATCAAGTCACAATACCGTGGCTGGAACAATCGTCACAATACCGTGGCTGCAACAATCAAGTCACAATACCGTGGCTGGAACATCAGTCACAATACCGTGGCTGGAACATCTCACAATACAGTGGATGCAACAATCAAGTCACAATACCGTGGCTGCAACAATCAAGTCACAATACCGTGGTTGCAACAATCTAGTCACAATACCGTGGCTGCAACAATCAAGTCACAATACCGTGGCTGCAACAATCTAGTCACAATACCGTGGTTGCAACAATCTAGTCACAATACCGTGGCTGCAACAATCAAGTCACAATACCGTGGCTGCAA